CCAGTGAATCTTTCAATAGCGAAAGTCGAGGCTTGAATTTTTTCTTCAGTTCCCCCAGCTTGAGAAATACTGACCGTGTTCTTCCCTTTTGGTTTTTAAACACATGCAATCAAGATCCTGAAGCATTTCCTTAAAGAACTGTCACAGGAGCTAAATCAAAGGATAATCAAGGCAGTGTCTACCAAGAGGTGGAAGCGGTCCATTCAAGAGCAAAGGTCAAGCAGCGAGGCCCGAGATGGAGGCAGAGAGGATGATGTGGAGTGATGATGTGGAGTGATGAAGCGGCTGGGGACTTTGAATCCAGAGAGGGAGAGGGACTGTGTGCTGAAGAATGGGGGGTGTGGGGGTAGGGGAGTGTAGGGGGCGGGTTTATAGGGTATACCCTTTGGTAGGTTGATGATGCAGGGGGGGGATTGGAACCATGGCAATGAAACGATATACGATAGAATGAATGTAAAACTAAAGTTCTCTCATGTAAACTATAATTTACAATAAACAACAACAACAGAGCAAAGGTCATAGCACTGTTTTGGGAATGCTGAAAACATTGTACTTCTTGAGTTTCTGGAGGATTAGAGAATAACCAGAGTGTTCTGAGAAATTTAGCCAAAACATCAGCAGACAACACCCCAAACAGTCCTTCTCCCACACAACAATCCTCCTGTTCATTCCTCTCATCTAACCAGGGCAATTCTGTGAGACTTTCCTTGGGAAATCCTTAGGCATACACCTTACAGTCCTGATGTGGTTCCTTCTCACTTGTTTCCGAATCTTAAAAATCTTTTCCAGGGCTCCCATTTTCTCTTCAGTTAACAACATCAACGTGGACTCAGTGCAGAGCAGGACTCAGGTGTAGGGCAGACTAAGTGACAGGATCACTGCTTACAGAAGTATCATGAACTTGATGGTGTTTATGTTGAGAAATAACGTTTTCAAATTTCTTTTCTTTTTGTCTTTTAATCCCATTTTCCCACAAACTTTTTGAAGACCTCTCACATCAAAGCACATCAAAATCAAAAAACACACATCAAAATCCCATTCTACCTAGCACTATGCTTAAGAACTGTAGGTTCAAAACCTTTCCCAACACTCACCGTTTTCACAATTCCTCCCCCCTCCCTCACTGCCCCTGCCATTCTTCCCTCTAAGTGAAGTACTAAACTTCCTACCACACCAATCAGATACAACAGACGGTCTGGGTCTGTTTCTATGCTGGCCCCCTCCCTCTCCCTTCTTCTCCCCAACTTATTCTCTCTCCACCTTGAAAACAGCAAGCCCTACATCTATATTCCCACTTTGGACCCAAAATATGACATAGGGAGTCTAAGACAAGATGGGGTGAGCCCAGCTGAGCTGCAGAGGCCCAAGAAGTAAATCTGCTGTACTAAGTCACTGGAATCTGGGGGTTATATGCTGCTGCACGAGTCCTGGTGTGGCGCTGAGGGTTAATGCGCTGGACTGCAAAGTCGGATTGAACCTCAAGGTTGGCAGCAGTTCAAGCTCACAAGACACTTCAGAAGGCCTATATAGGGTCATATGAGTCAGAACTGACTTGATAGCACTAACAGTAACATGTTGTTACAGCCAAAGCTATTACATTAAATGACCTCAGTCTCGTTACTTAATTTCTGAGCTTGCCCGCGTCCTCTGTAAAACGGTGAGAATCACCTACCATAGGTATGTAACACATGATTTCATCTATGTAGAGTGCTTCATACAACTACTTGGCACAGAGACTCAGTGGCCACAGCCATCCAAATTCCTCTGGCCTGATCTAGCAGACAAGCCAAGTTCTAACGTTATCTCTCTATACATCAGATTCTCCTTGAAGCCCTATAAAGGGTTGCTCGCTATGAGATTCGATGGCATTTAATAACATCAGACTCTAGATGACAGACTAAAGTGCAGAGGCTTTCAATGAGCCAGACGTGAGTTTTCGATACATTCTTAATAAGTGGTTGAAGGTACCAGAAATGTGAGCCCCATTAAGGAGGAGTATGAAGATACGGATTTTGAGCAATAACTGTATTCTCAGATCTATAAACCTGGTACCTAATATATACATCACCTATTAACACGTTGAAAATCAAGAGTTTACTTCAAAGACCAGCTATCTGTATGTATTCTATCATAGTTAAAGGGGTGTGTGTGCCAGTGAACGAGGACCCTTGAATTATGAGGGAAGTTTCATCTGTGAGAATTTTAATAGGCGAATGAAGCCAACCAGGAGTCCTGGTGACACCGGAGGTGAAGTGACTGACTGCTACGCAAAAGGTCAGAGGTTTGAAATCACTAGCCACTCTGTGAGAGAAAGCTCCCACAGGCTACTGCCCTAGGATTAGACAGTCCCATGGGGGAACAGTCCTTCTCTGTCCTGTAGGGTCAGCAGGAGTTAATTCCAACAGTCCATCTTGATGAGAAGCCAGCACACTTTACATCTAAAACGCTCAATGGCAACAAAATCATTTTCATGATTTCCTGCTTTCCATTTTTGTTCATGCTTAAGAATCGCTACCAAAGCACAGGCTTTGACCCCAGCACCATCATGCAACGCTCCCAGTACAAAGACACACTTACGTCTCACCTGCTTTCTCCTCTCCTTTGATGGTTTCTATCGATGTCCAAGGAGAACAGGGATCACCTTACAGTGACCCATTTCAGAACCAGATCTCCAGGAACGCACTTGATTTCATACCAGGAAATGCTGACAGACCTGCCTCTCTCTACAATGCTTTCACTCACTAGATACAAGTCTTTTCAAAGCCAGAAAAGCTACTAAATTTCCAAGATAGGAAAATCCACAGGGACTCATTTGCTTCCTTTTGTTTTCATTAGTCTATTCATGGTATTAAATATCAATTTTAAGAATTTTTCAAGACAACAGCAAATATTTGATCACTGAACCATCATGCATTTTTTAATCTTGGAATACACTTTTCCTAATAAATTCTACTGATTAGTAAACTGTCTCAATCAGTTGAAAAGCTGACAATTATTCCTATCATATAACTAAAAAATAACTCATGACCATACACCTGAGAAAATGTCCCCCAGTTAGTTCCCCATCACTACGAATTACCTGTTAACCTTGAGATGCACAAGGAAATTTATAAATTTGCTAATTTAAAGCAGCCAATCAAACGAAACTCTATTTAGCAATCTAGACTCTGTCATTCATCATGCCAACGAGCTGAACTGAAGCACTGTTCTGGAGGGAAAATTCTCATTTTGCTTTAAAAAGCTTGTATCATATACTTGTTGTTGTTGTTGTTTAGTGCTGTCGGGTCAGTTCCGACCCATAGCGACCCTGTATAGGGTTTCCAAGGAGCAGCTGGTGAGCTTGAACTGCCGACCTGGCAGTTCAAACGGCTTTGCAGTCTGGCGCATTAACCTACAGCGCCACACCAGGGCTCCTGTATCATATACTTAGGTCTCACCAAAATACACAATGACAACAAACGGCAAAGATTAAGAACTGGATTAATTTTTCCAAAAGAGAAGCAAGTCCCAACCAAAAGTATAAAAGTATAATTGTGACAGCAGTCACTCTTGACGTATCACTGAGATGTACTGTAGGGAGACGGGACTTCGCAAATTCACAAGTTCTGCTCTATTAATCATCAAAGCTAGGCTCAAATGTTTCATTAGCCTGGCTGTCACAGCTTTAGGAAGAGGCAAGCATTCCCTCACTTCCTGAGAATCTAAGTACTGTAGTATTTATATTTAGTACTTAGGATTAACCTGCTAATAGTAGATTGCATCTATCAATTACAACAGTTCCAAGGAACTGATTGGAAGCCCTGTTAACCAAGTCAACTTAGCAGACACATACTATTTCCTAAGAAAGTCCACTCATCATTTTTTAATGCCTACAGATGCCTTAACTCTCTTTTTCCTTTAAATTGCTTTAGACGTTTTATTGGGCCAGAATTCCTTTCCCCCCAAAAGGTACCAGTTAGTAACATTTTACTGGATTCAACTGAGCAATCACCAGTCCCTGCAGCACCTCCCACATTTATAGTTACCTTCTCCAACCTCTCAAAGTATTCCCTGAGGAATGCCATGGGCCTCTCGGGCCGCGCGGTGCACAACTGCACAATCGAGTCCTTGAGCAGCGCCTGGATGTTGTGCTTCTGGACGTAGAGCTCACATTCCCGCAGACTGCGCTCCTCCTCACTGGTGCTGCCGGACGCCATGGTTTTCACTACAAGAGAAAGCAGATGTGTGTGGTAAACGAGCTAGACTAGGCAAACCCCAATTTGCCCTCTGACTTGCATAATGCATTAGACAAGTGATTCCACAAGGGATCATTTTCTTTCCCACTAAATAGATTTTTTTTTAAAGGGGAGGTGGGCCCTAGAGTATAAAGTATGTAAATCTAGAGCATTCTTCCAAAAAGTATTCACTGAGTTCCTCCAAGCAGGAGCTGGTTGGATTCCCGTAGGCAGCAAAAGGAGAGGCAGTCACCTGGGCTCCTGGGCGGAAGTCAGAGCCACTATCCCCTGCAGAGGCGGGCTGCTGAGAAGTCAGGCCCCGGAGGGAATTTCATTCAGTCCTCCCCAGCAGAAGACATCACCATGACGTGCGAAGTATGTAAATGGTAAACAGGGCTGAGAATTACAAGGACACCCAAGTCCAACTGGCATTCCCTGCACGTAACTCCGGTCCCACAGGGACGTCCTAAAGTTACACAGCAAACCACTGGAGCAAAGGATTGATTAGTCAAAGGCTAAAGCAATCAGAAAGTTCAAAACATAAGGAACTCTAAAAGCAAGCTTTAATTCCCGAACCATTTACTAGAATCCAGCCCTAAAAGACAACACACTCACCTAGCGGTGAGAGGGAAGATTTTTAGAAGCAAGCAAACATACACACTCACAAGCAACACACACACAGGAACCACACTCACCGATTTACCAAGTAAACTGTGAAGATTTGGTGATTTGGACAGGAAAATGTCAAGCCATTTTTTCATTTAAAATGTTCAGGTAAATTCTAAACTTACACTAATGTCTCATTGTTGTTAAGTGCCAGTGAGTCGATTCCAACTCACAGCAACTGTATACCGTTTTCAAGGCTTTGAACCACCAACCTTGAGGTTTAGCAGTCCAGATCATACCCTACGGCACCACACCAGGACATTTTATAGAGAAGATAAAATATATTCAACACTTTGCTGTTGTTGACAAGTGCCACTGAGTCAGTTCTGACTGGCAGAGACTCTGTATAAGGTTTCCTGGGAGTGGTTGGCGGGTTTGAACTGCCGCCCTTGTAATTCAAACTGCCCTTGTGGTCCAGTGCAGTATCCTGAAGTGCTATACCATATACCAGGGCTCCCAACAGATTTTAGAGGGCTCAAAATAATCTTGATGTGAAGTAACTAGAAATATAATAAGCAGCTAAGCTTAGCCTGCATTTAAAAGCTCAGTAATTCAACATCAGGGTCATCAACTATCTTCCACCCAACTCTTAATTACTAAGCAATGAATAAAAAAATAAAAATAAAAAAGCCATGTTCCCCCCTCCATTATGCAAGCAAATTCAACAGGAAATCAGACTTTTCCAATTATAAGGTACACAGAACCTAGGTGATGAAATGGTTCATTTAAAGGGTTAAAAGAGAGCAGTACGGGGATGGCGTTATTTTGAAGTGTTACAGTTACTCATTTTGTTTTGATAACTTTCCTGACAAAGGTCACTAACACGTAGATTCATTAACAGACCCTGAGAAAAATCTGTGACACCATGACAAACGCATAAATTAGAGGCCATGGAAAAAGATTCATGCTGCTATTTCAGAAACAGGCACCCAAAAAGACAAGTGAAAACTTTATTCACTTTCGGAGATAGGTGTATCAGTCACTTTTCCAAGTCAGTCATCACCTCCACAGGAGCTAATACAGCCTGTGCCATTTTCTTTCTGCAAATTCAAACGCTGAAGGCCACAATAGTAAAGCAGATCTTTCTGCTCCCAAACATTCCATAGTATTTCAGAAAAGAAGCACAGCAATTCAGCTGATCACAATCATTCAACCATCAGGTCCTTGGTTGGTAAAGATGAAGAGAACTGGGTCCCACGAGGCCAGACTGTTTCTGTTGGAAACACAGTAATGGTCTTTACCAGCCCCAAAGACACTGGCATCAAAGATGCCACAAGATGAAGGCAGTCACCAAATGAATCCCTGAATTCCACAATCTTCATTGTTTTTAATTAACTACTGGCCTCGCACCTATATTTTCATAGCCCCGCAAATTAGCTCCCCTCCCCTCCCCTCCAAATCGTAACTACGTTTCGACTTACAGCGAATTGTCTCTACCTATAAAGAAGCACAAGGAACTCTGGTAGCGTAGTGGTTACAAATCGGGCTGCTAACCTCAGGGTCAGCAGTTCGAAACTACCAGCTGTTCCCCGGGAGAAAGATGAGGCTTTCTGCTCCCGTAAAGATTTACAGCCTCGGAAACCCTATAGAGGGTCGCTATGAGTCGGAACCGACTCCACGGCACATTAACAACAATGAGGAAGCACTCATCATAGTCTCCCTTTATGGAGATTCAGTTGTGATCAAATTCAGTGTCAAAAGGAATACATTCAAGGAAATATTTAGACACTAGTACTTTGAGAAACTGATCCTGATTCAGGCCGCACCACCCACCCACCCCTTCCTCGGCTGAAAAGATGGATCTCCTCCCAAGGAGTGAGCTGGAGGAGTCATCGTTATCGCGTCGTTTCGGGGGG